CACACACACACACACGCGCGCACACACACACACACACACACACACACACACGCTCATGATTGACAGCTGCTGTCTCGCTGTGATTGGTCTCTGCAGGAGCGTCAGAAGCAGCTGGAGAGCATGGGAATCTCTCTGGAGTCGTCAGGGATCAAGGTCGGAGAAGACAAGTGCTTCCTGGTCAACCTGAACGCCGATCCGGCTCTCAATGAACTGCTGGTTTACTACCTGAAGGTACAGTGATCACACACTGAGACGTCAGCAGAGGTTTGCATCACTGTCACTGTTACTCATTCATTCCCAGTGGACGGCTGCAAGGATTGCTGATGCTTTTTTGTTTTTTGATGCATCTCAAGGGACACTTAGGAATAGTTTTTTTTCTATTTTTCGAATGGACAAATTAGTAGAAACTGTTTATTTAATTTATGTTTTAAAATGTAGTTAAAATAATTAAAGGGTTAGTTCACCCAAAAATGAAAAGTCTGTCATTAATTACTCTCAGATTTAATCAAAAATATCTTCATTTGTGTTCCGAAGATAAACGAAGGTCTTACGGGTTTGGAACGACATGAGGGTGAGTAATTAATGACATAATTTTCAATTTGGGGTGAACTAACCCTTTAAACAATAAATTAATAAATACTATCTTGTTTTTTTAAAACATGAATGAATGCAGTTTTACATATTTTATTTATTTTTCGTATACTCACTTCAGTACTGTACTTTTTATTTAAATGTATACTTCATTATTTATTTAAATCTAATTGTATTATTTATTTATTTAATATTTCAAAATAAATAAATAATTATATACAATATATTTATATTTATTTATTTAAATATTATTTTATTATTTATATATATATATACTTTATTATAAAATAAAAATATAATAATTATATATATATATTTATATTATTTATTTATTTTATATATAATAATACATATTACTTTATTTAATATGTGTATAGTATAGAACATTTTTTATATATAATTATAAATATGTATTTTATTTTAATCTTTATGTTAGTTATTTATTATTTATAATAAAATTATTTATTTTTATTTTTGTAGTTGTTGTAGTTTTATTTAGCTACATTTTAAAACATTAAATATACAGTTTAATATATATATATACCTATTAATTTGTCCATTTAAAAAGTAAATTATTTATTTCCATTTTTATGTTTGAATTATTAAATTACTAACTTTTTCCTGTATTTTCCTGTAAGTGTCACTCCATACTCCATGCCATGCACGGCTACAATCAAAATGTATTTGCAAACAAACTGAAATTGCATTACGGATGAATCATATCTGGAAGTTGCAGACATAGAAAATCCAGCTTAAAGGTTGTTTTCAGTGTTTCAGTGAGTTGTTAAACCATCTGACAAATTCAGCCTGATTCATCCGATTCAGTTTATTCTTTCTGACTCAAAAGAACGATTCACAAATCTTGCATCACTAGGTCAAAGTTTATCCGTCAGCGCCGTCGTATGAGCTGCGTTTGCTCTGATAGAGACCTGTGAAAACACCACCAACAACAGGCCTTTAGCGGTGTTTGTGTAACTCAGCCCACATGCAGGAGAAGTCTTCAGTGCCTCCTCTGAGATGTTTGCTCTGGTTCAGGATCACACGCGTGTGGGAGCCGACACGTCCCAGGACATCCAGCTGTTCGGCATCGGGATCCAGTCTGAACACTGTGTGCTGGAAGTCACGTCTGACGGAGACGTCACGCTCACGCCGGCAGACAACGCCAGGTAACACAAACCTGTGTTGTTTATTAGCATGAAAATAAATAATATCATTTACAGTTAAACCAATGTATGCAAAATGAAACGGAAACAATAATAATGACATAAAAAATACAATACGTTTTAAAGTTTCAGGTGAAAGAAAAAAAAACAAATTAAAATAATATTTTTTTTCAAACCTTTTTTGATATATATTAATATATATATATATATCTTTGTGTTTAATATCTATATATTAAATATATATATCTTTGTGTTTAATATACTTTTACATTACATAAAGCTCTGCAAATGACATAATTCACATTACACACTTTAACCACTTATAATTCTAAATAATTCTCATTAAGGTAATAAGTATCATTAATATTATTTTTTAGGATTTATTAATATTTTATTCTTATATTTTCTGTTTAAATTTTAATTTTAGTAAACTTGTTTTTTTGTCATATTTTTTTTTAATATTTTTCAAATATATATAAACTAGACTATATCATTATTTAATTATATAATTACAATTATTAAAAATAATTTTAAACTAAACTAATTGAATAATTTCAGTACTTTAGTAATTAGTAAAAAATATTTTTTTGTATTTTATTTTTATTTCAATTATTGTAAATGTTTTTGTTTTAGTTAATGATAAAAACACTGATAATTCTGAATATCTCTGAATATAAAAATATATGTTTACCTAATATCTTTATTTATATTTATATCATTTTTTATATTTATATTTATATCATCTTTATGAATTTTTAGTACTTCAAGTTAAGACTGAGAAACTAACTAAACAATAATGTTTTTATATTTTATTTAAGTTGTTGTAAATGTTTTTAGTTTTAGTTAACGATAATATCTTTATTCGTTTTTATTTCAGTTTTATTAATTTTAGTACTTCAACTTAAACTAAATAAAAATGAGAAATGTTGCCTTGGCAACTAACAAAAAAAATAATACGTTTTTATATTTATTTCAGTTATTGTATTTTTTTTTTATTTTAAATGTTGCAAGTTTAAAATATATAGTATTTTAGATGCAGCTCTTGTGTCTGATTTGTGTAAGATATTGTAATCCTGTGCTGTTTGACGGTCGCAGGACGTGTGTGAACGGGACGATGGTTTACTCCAGGGTTCAGCTGTGGCACGGAGATCGCATTCTGTGGGGAAACAACCACTTCTTCAGGTGAGCAGCAGGTTGTCATGCGCAGCGTCTCGTCTCGTCTCGAGCTCAGACTCATCCGAGCGAATGTCGTCCTCAGAATCAATCTGCCGAAGCTCAAGCGGCGCGAGCGACTGAAGGAGCCGGAGCGCGACTCTCCTCGCCAAAGCTTGTCCGAGGCCGACGCGGAGACGGCGAGCCAGGCCTCGTCCGAACAGGACTACAGCTACGAGTTCGCACAGATGGAGGTCATGATGAAAGCGCTGGGGAGCAACGGTACATGCCTGACCTCTGACCTCTGACCACCACACTGCATGATAGAGAGCCTTCACTGCACAATACACATAACAGCACGCATCGTGCTTCTCAGTATCATTATATGGAATATAATGCATTACATTGCTATCATTATATGGAATATAATACATTACATTACTATCATTATATGGAATATAATGCATTACATTGCTATCATTATATGGAATATAATGCATTACATTACTATCATTATATGGAATATAATACATTACATTATTATACATCCCTATAACTAGATACATTTCTCATTGCTGATTATTATGAAAATGCAAAAAAAAAAATATATAAACAACTTTTTTTTAAATATATAATAACATTGCTATCATTATATGGAATATAATGCATTACATTGCTATCATTATATGGAATATAATGCATTACATTGCTATCATTATATGGAATATAATGCATTACATTGCTATCATTATATGGAATATAATGCATTACATTGCTATCATTATATGGAATATAATGCATTACATTGCTATCATTATATGGAATATAATGCATTACATTGCTATCATTATATGGAATATAATGCATTACATTGCTATCATTATATGGAATATAATGCATTACATTGCTATCATTATATGGAATATAATGCATTACATTGCTATCATTATATGGAATATAATGCATTACATTGCTATCATTATATGGAATATAATGCATTACATTGCTATCATTATATGGAATATAATGCATTACATTGCTATCATTATATGGAATATAATGCATTACATTGCTATCATTATATGGAATATAATGCATTACATTGCTATCATTATATGGAATATAATGCATTACATTGCTATCATTATATGGAATATAATGCATTACATTGCTATCATTATATGGAATATAATGCATTACATTGCTATCATTATATGGAATATAATGCATTACATTGCTATCATTATATGGAATATAATGCATTACATTGCTATCATTATATGGAATATAATGCATTACATTGCTATCATTATATGGAATATAATGCATTACATTGCTATCATTATATGGAATATAATGCATTACATTGCTATCATTATATGGAATATAATGCATTACATTGCTATCATTATATGGAATATAATGCATTACATTGCTATCATTATATGGAATATAATGCATTACATTGCTATCATTATATGGAATATAATGCATTACATTGCTATCATTATATGGAATATAATGCATTACATTGCTATCATTATATGGAATATAATGCATTACATTGCTATCATTATATGGAATATAATGCATTACATTGCTATCATTATATGGAATATAATGCATTACATTGCTATCATTATATGGAATATAATGCATTACATTGCTATCATTATATGGAATATAATGCATTACATTGCTATCATTATATGGAATATAATGCATTACATTGCTATCATTATATGGAATATAATGCATTACATTGCTATCATTATATGGAATATAATGCATTACATTGCTATCATTATATGGAATATAATGCATTACATTGCTATCATTATATGGAATATAATGCATTACATTGCTATCATTATATGGAATATAATGCATTACATTGCTATCATTATATGGAATATAATGCATTACATTGCTATCATTATATGGAATATAATGCATTACATTGCTATCATTATATGGAATATAATGCATTACATTGCTATCATTATATGGAATATAATGCATTACATTGCTATCATTATATGGAATATAATGCATTACATTGCTATCATTATATGGAATATAATGCATTACATTGCTATCATTATATGGAATATAATGCATTACATTGCTATCATTATATGGAATATAATGCATTACATTGCTATCATTATATGGAATATAATGCATTACATTGCTATCATTATATGGAATATAATGCATTACATTGCTATCATTATATGGAATATAATGCATTACATTGCTATCATTATATGGAATATAATGCATTACATTGCTATCATTATATGGAATATAATGCATTACATTGCTATCATTATATGGAATATAATGCATTACATTGCTATCATTATATGGAATATAATGCATTACATTGCTATCATTATATGGAATATAATGCATTACATTGCTATCATTATATGGAATATAATGCATTACATTGCTATCATTATATGGAATATAATGCATTACATTGCTATCATTATATGGAATATAATGCATTACATTGCTATCATTATATGGAATATAATGCATTACATTGCTATCATTATATGGAATATAATGCATTACATTGCTATCATTATATGGAATATAATGCATTACATTGCTATCATTATATGGAATATAATGCATTACATTGCTATCATTATATGGAATATAATGCATTACATTGCTATCATTATATGGAATATAATGCATTACATTGCTATCATTATATGGAATATAATGCATTACATTGCTATCATTATATGGAATATAATGCATTACATTGCTATCATTATATGGAATATAATGCATTACATTGCTATCATTATATGGAATATAATGCATTACATTGCTATCATTATATGGAATATAATGCATTACATTGCTATCATTATATGGAATATAATGCATTACATTGCTATCATTATATGGAATATAATGCATTACATTGCTATCATTATATGGAATATAATGCATTACATTGCTATCATTATATGGAATATAATGCATTACATTGCTATCATTATATGGAATATAATGCATTACATTGCTATCATTATATGGAATATAATGCATTACATTGCTATCATTATATGGAATATAATGCATTACATTGCTATCATTATATGGAATATAATGCATTACATTGCTATCATTATATGGAATATAATGCATTACATTGCTATCATTATATGGAATATAATGCATTACATTGCTATCATTATATGGAATATAATGCATTACATTGCTATCATTATATGGAATATAATGCATTACATTGCTATCATTATATGGAATATAATGCATTACATTGCTATCATTATATGGAATATAATGCATTACATTGCTATCATTATATGGAATATAATGCATTACATTGCTATCATTATATGGAATATAATGCATTACATTGCTATCATTATATGGAATATAATGCATTACATTGCTATCATTATATGGAATATAATGCATTACATTGCTATCATTATATGGAATATAATGCATTACATTGCTATCATTATATGGAATATAATGCATTACATTGCTATCATTATATGGAATATAATGCATTACATTGCTATCATTATATGGAATATAATGCATTACATTGCTATCATTATATGGAATATAATGCATTACATTGCTATCATTATATGGAATATAATGCATTACATTGCTATCATTATATGGAATATAATGCATTACATTGCTATCATTATATGGAATATAATGCATTACATTGCTATCATTATATGGAATATAATGCATTACATTGCTATCATTATATGGAATATAATGCATTACATTACTATCATTATATGGAATATAATACATTACATTATTATACATCCCTATAACTAGATACATTTCTCATTGCTGATTATTATGAAAATGCAAAAAAAAAAATATATAAACAACTTTTTTTTAAATATATAATATATTAAAATAAACAATTATATAAATTTACCTGATTATCATACCACTACATCCCCTATAACAAGATAAATTTAGCTTCTTTTATTCTCATTGCTGATTATTTTGAAAAAAAAAAAAAAAAAAAAAAATATGATATAATAAAATAAATAAATAATTATATAAATTTACCCGATTATCATATCTCTACATTCCCTATAACCAGATAAATGTATTCCCATTGCTTATTATGAAAATGCAATAAAAATACATAAGAATTCAATTTTAATTATTCATTAATTATTTAAATTTACCTGATTATCACATCTATATATCCCTATAACAAGACAAATTTACCTGCTTATATTTTCATCGCTGATTATTATGTAAATGCAATAAAAATAAATAATAATTTATTTGTAATAATTAATTAATTAAATAATTAAATTTACCTGATTATCACATCTATACATCCTCATCACAACACATTTGTCTGCTTGTATTCACATTGCTGATTGTTATGAAAATGCAATAAATTAAATAATAGTTTAGTTTTAATAAATAATTTTGAAAGAAATAAAAAAAGATTTAAATGCACCTGATTATCTTGTTTAAAGCACAAACCAGTCAAAAACAAGTGAAAAAATCTATAAATGCAACACTTTTATTTTCTGTATATATTATTTGAAAACAAACCCTAATATCTTATGCAATTTTGCATTTCGGGAAATTTTATCTTGTTATAAAGATGTTTACATAACAAGAAAAAGAATGGAAAAGATCATGATTTTTGTTCTTTTTTGTAACGCTGTTACATAAACACTTTAAAAGTGTTTCTCTTCTAGAGAAAATCAGCCATTAGCAGTGCTATTTTATGTTTTTAGTATGTTTTTAGTATTTTAATGATATTATTTATTCATATTTTGAATTAGCTTTTACTTTAGATATTTGTAGGATTTATTTTAATTTTTAGTAATTTTGTTATATGCTTTTGTCATTTTATTATTTTTTTCCCCAATATACATTTAATTATATTTTGAGCTTTTACTTTGTTTTTACAATTTCCATATTGTCCTATCCTAACAAACCATACATCAATGGAAAGCTTATTTATTCAGCTTTCAGATGATCTATCTATAAATCTCAATTTCGAAAAATTGACCCTTATGACTGGTTTTGTGCTCCAGTGTCACATTTATTCATTTTGCAGACGCTTTTATCCAAAGAGACTTACAAATGGGGAATACATAAAGCGATTCATCTTAAAGAGGCAAACAGACACAGGAAGTGCTCGGAATAAGCATTGTTCAAATAAGAACATTTTATTTTCTTATAAAGAGAATTTTCTTTAGCAGAAGTTTTAGTAATTTAGTTTTTTGAATATTGCTTTAATTTATTTTTATTTCAGATTTAGGTTTTTATTTAATTTATTTTTTTACTTTTTCACATTTTTAATTTTCATTTCAGTGTCTTTTAGACATACATTTTACGTCTAATATTTATATTTTATTTTATTTCAGCTTTATTTCAATGAACATTAGCACAACATTATGTCGTGATGTATTTTAGTTTTAGTTGTATTATCTAGTAGCGCTCTAGACGCGTCTCCTCATCTCAGACCCCATGCAGAAGGCGGTGCATGCTCTGGAGAAGCAGTATGTGGAGGAGAAGCGTCTGGCGCTGGAGGAGCAGCGGCTGATGTACGAGCGCGAGCTCCAGTCTCTGCGGCAGCAGCTCTCGCCGGAGAAAGCGTCTCAGCACCAGCGCTGCAGCAGCTTCCCCACACACACCACACAGACCAAACTGCGTCTGTGGAGCGACGAGAGGTCAGAACACACACACACACCAGCCTGCTCATCTCTAACACACATGAACTATTTAGTGTTTTTTTGCAGTGCATTGAAGGAGACATTTTATGCCCCTTTTTACAATATGTAATATAAGTCTCAGCACACACACACACACTCACACACACACACACACACACACACATGTGTGTGTTTCAGGGACGAGCTGTTTCGTCAGAGTCTGTCTCGGCTGCGTGAGCAGGTGGTCCGAGCGAACGCTCTGGTGCGAGAGGCTAACTTTCTGTCCGAGGAGATGCACAAACTCACCGACTATCAGGTCACGCTGCAGATCCCAGCCGCCAACCTCAGCGCAAACCGCAAGGTGAGAAACGCTCACGTTTACATGCATTCATTCAGCAGACGCTTTTATCCAGGAGAATCACAAGATATTTGTCATCAGAACCAACAATACAGAGACCCAAGTATAAACTAGATTAGCGTACAAGCTAGAACAGAAGTGATTTTTGCTCGTGTATTTATTTACTTCTTCATTTGTCATACTTATTTATCAACCTATATTTATTAGATATCTGTATTTTTTAATCATTATTTATTTATTCATTTACTCATTTATTCATTAGTTAATTTCTTTGTGTACTCATTTATTCATATATTTATTTACTCATTTATTTATCTATTTATTAATTTACTTCTTTATGATTTATGTACTCATTTATTTATTGATTTATTCTTTCATATTTGTTGGCTCATTTATTTACTTATTCATCCATTTGCTTGATTAATTGTTTATCTATTTATATATGTATTCCTTTGTTTATTTATTCATTTAATCATTACTTATATATTCACTAATTTCTTTATCTATTTACATATGTATTTATTTCATGTATTTGTTTGTTTAGTAATTTTTTTTTGTTTGTTTATGTATTTGCTCATTTATTTATTTATTGACTTATTCATTCATTCGTTTTTTTACTTGTTTTATCTATTTATTCCTTTGTTTATTTATTCATTATAAATTTACTTGCTCATTTATTTATTTATATTTATCATTTGTTTGTTTGTTTATTTATTTATTAACTCATTTATTTTTTATTTATTTAATTATTCACAGGAATAGGAGTTCCCTTTCAGTCGGTCACTCTCGACGTCACGTCGGATGACCGACGAAATTGGGATCTCGCTTAGAGAGACCAATCTACTTCGAGTGTAAACTAAACGAGCCAATGCACATTGGCATGCGATTATTGCATCCAGCTGGACGTGACGTCGAGAGTGACCGACTGAAAGGGAACGTCTCGGTTACGTATGGTAACCCTCGTTCCCTGAAGGAGGGAACGGAGACGTCACGTCCCGTCGCCACAGCTCCTGTACCACCGCTGAGCGGCCGGGTCACCGGCTCGGCTCCTCAGCGAAAACCTGAATATGCGCTGCATCTGCTGCCTACTTATACTCACGCTGTGATCAGCAGCAGCTGGATGCAATAATCGCATGCCAATGTGCATTGGCTCGTTTAGTTTACACTCGAAGTAGATTGGTCTCTCTAAGCGAGATCCCAATTTCGTCGGTCATCCGACGTGACGTCTCGGTTCCCTCCTTCAGGGAACGAGGGTTACCATACGTAACCGAGACGTTACATTAAGTGCTTTCATTTTTGGTTGTGCATTAGGTGTTTTCACCTAATTTGTAGTTGACTAACAGCAGTCTAGTTATTTTAAATCAAATTTATAATGCTTTTATCATCATTATGCGTGCAGTTTTATGACTTCACATTAATTGAACGACAACATGGATTAAAAATGATGCAAAAACTCCTAAAAATATACATTTACATTTATGCATTTGGCAGACGCTTTTATCCAAAGCGACTCACATTGCATTTATACATTCATGCATTGCTTGTTGAAAATGTGATTCTATAAATGCAAACCTTAAGTGCAGTTGATGGTCGCTGTATTATGTTTCCTCTGTAATATTACATTGCTGTAATTATTTTAATCCCAGCGTGGCACTATAGTCAGTGAACCGGCCATCCAGGTGCGACGCAAAATGAAGGGAACGCAGGTGTGGACCATCGAGAAACTAGAGAACAAACTAGTGGACATGAGAGACTATTACAGAGACTGGAGGGAAGGAACACAGGAGGTGGTGAGTGAAAGAAAACAATGCTTTTATTCATCAAGGATGCATTAAACTGATTAAGAGTGACAGTAAAGACATTTATAATGTTACAATATATTTCTGTTTCTAATAAATGCTGTTCTTTTGAACTTTCTGTTCATCAAAGAATCAGAAATGTTTCTTGAGCAGCAAATCAGCATATTAGAATGATTTCTGAAGATCATGTGACACTGAAGACTGGAGTAATGATGCTGAAAATTCAGCTGCGCATCACAGAAATAAATTACACTTTACAATATATTCACATAGAAAATAGTTATTTTAAATTGTAATAATATTTCACAATTTTACTGTCTTTTTGATCAAATAAATGCAGCCTTATTTATTTATATGTTTAGTTATTTACTAGTTATTTATTCACCCGCTTAGTTGTTTTTTTACTTATTTGTTTATTTATATACAGTTTTATTTGTTTGTTTATTTACTCATTTATTTTTTATTTTTTTTATCATTTATTTACTTATTTGTTTGTTTGTTTGTTTATTTATTTATATGTTTGGTTATTTACTCATGTTTTCACACATTTATTTATTTATTTGTTTATTTGCTTGTTTATGCATTTGTTTGTTTATTTATATATAAATATATATACTCATTTATGTTTTTACTTATTTATTATTTTATTTATCTATTTACTAATTTATTTGTTTATTTACTCATTTCTTTGGTTATTTTCCTGACCTTGTCGGCAGATGTTTGTTCTTGTTTTGATCATAAACTCACTTCAGTTTGATGAATTTCTTTGTGTCTCCTTCCATTTTCTTTACTTGGTCTTAGAAAGGTCTAAAAACGTCTCAAATGTGCTCTGTTTTGGTTGATTTGTTTGTGTTTTCTTGCGTTTCTCGCAGGTGAACCGTCTGCACAGTAAGGCGGGCGATCCGTTCTATGAAGCGCAGGAGAATCACAATCTCATCGGCGTGGCAAATGTCTTCCTGGAGTGTCTGTTTCATGACGTGAAGCTGCAGTACGCTGTTCCCATCATCAGCCAGCAGGGGGAGGTGAGCAGCCGTCTGTCTGGTAAACAGGCTGTTATGGTGTGTTCACACCATAGACTGTATAAAATGTTTCATGACGTGAAGCTGCAGTACGCTGTTCCCATCATCAGCCAGCAGGGGGAGGTGAGCAGCCGTCTGTCTGTCTGGTGTCAGGCTGTTATGGTGTGTTCACACCATAGACTGTATAAAAGCATGGACGTAGTGTCCGTGACGTCACCCGTAGGTTCCTGAAGAGCGTTTTTGAAGCTCAAAGTGGGCGGAGCCGGCCGTCGCCATCTTGGCAGCGCATCACTCCCAGAAAATCGAAAATGGGCAAAGAGGCGGGACCAGGTTGCTGAAACCAAGCCCACCTAGCTTGTTGGCTTCACGAGAGAGAGCGGGAGGTTGCCGCTTGGTTCACACCAAATGCGAAGCGAATATGTGCATCGCGTCACTCGCTCTAGATTAGGGATGGCCGATACCACTTATTTTGTTTTCGATACAATACCGATACTTTTAAAAACTAGTATCGGCGATACCGATACTTCTAAACTAAACTTTTAAATGATGAAATTTATTAAAAATGATCAAATTGCCAAAGTCACGTGATTTCAGTAAACGAGGCTTCGTTACGTCATAACTGTTTCGAAACGTTTTGAAATGTCAATGGTTCATGCAAGCGGCGAACCATTGAACCAGCGCCTATGGTTTTTACCTGATCTCAGATCAGTTATATCAATATGTAGATTTTAACGAGACATTTGTGTAATTAAAAGGATTAGAAGTAGTTAATAGTCTCTTTCTGGCCTCTATATACAAGCTCTCCATAAAACAAAACAAAACAAGCCTTGCAAATTAATATAAAATATTTTAAAAGCCACATATTATACAGGCACTTCATATTTAATGTTATTTTATAATTTTTAATAAAACATTTGCAATGTTTTTTTTTGGGGGGGGGGTTGTTGAATTTACACACTTTTGACCTGCAGGCGTCACTAGTGTGTGGTGTTTTTCGAGCGCTTCGAAACAGTGAATCATTTTGTGAAGCAATTGGTTCAATTGATTCGAAGCTTCGAAAAGATTCGTTTCTCCCATCACTAGTGTCAATAAGCTCTTTGCTGATTGGCTTGTGCGAGAACGCGTCATGCGAATTTTTTGCTCGAGTTGAGAACTTGCGCGGAAGAAGCGATTTGTTTCTTATTTAATTGGTTCCACAGTGTTTGCTGATTTATACTTTATTTAAACATTGTGTAATTAATTTATTTTATTTGACATCAAGGTGTATGCCATTCCTCCGAGCTTCTTATTCGTTTTGCTAATAAACGTAAATGTTTCTTACTTATTTGGTTTCACAGTGTTTGCTGATTTTCAGTTTTGTATACCTATTAAACTTTGTGTAAGTTATTTGTTATTTTATATTAGGCATAGCCTATAGCATGGTGTATTTTTATTCGTTTTATTAATAAAAGTTCTCTGATTTATATACACTACCAGTCAAAAGTTTGGGATCAGAATTATTTTTAATGTTTTTTACAGGAGTCTCTTCTGCTCATCAAGGCTGCATTTATTTGATCAAAAATACAGGAAAAAATGTAATATTGTGAAATATTATTATGATGTAAAATAAAGTTTTTCTATTTTAATATATATTAAAATATAATTTATTCCTGTGATGCGCAGCTGAATTTTCAGCATCATTACTCCAGTCTTCAGTGTCACATGATCTTCAGAAATCATTCTGATATGCTGATTTGCTGTTCAAGACACATTTATTATTCTAATTATCAATATTTAAAACAGTTGAGTAAATTTTTTCAGGATTCTTTGATGAATAGAAAGATCCAAAGATCAGCATTTATCTGAAATAAAAAAGCTTTTGTAACATTATACACTATACCATTCAAAAGCTTGGAGTCGGTATATTTAAATCATCATATATTTATAATTAAAGTATGAAATTATAGAAATTAATAATTTTATTTAGCAAGGATGCATTAATATTGATCAAAAGTGATGATAAAGACATTTATAGTTACAAAATATTTCTATTTAGATAAATGCTGTTCTTCTAAACTTTCTATTCATAAAAGAAACCTGAAAATTCTACTCAGCTGTTTTCAACATAATAATAATAACAATAATAAAAAAAAAAATTTGGGGGGCAGCAAATCAGAATATTAGAATGATTTCTGAAGGATCATGTGACTGAAGTAACTTTGCTAAAATTCAGCTTTGAAATCACAGGAATAAATTACATTTTAAAATATATTCAAATAGAAAGCAGTTATTTTAAATAGTACAAATATTTCACAATATTACTGCTTTTGCTGTAGGATTTTGTGAATCAAGAATTATAAAAAAAAAAACATTAAAAATCTTGCTGTCTAAAAACTTTTGACTGGTAGTGTATATTGATATATCCACAAATATAATATTATGGAAAAGGTCTTTGCAACGTAAGACAAACGTTTGCTTTTGAGATGCATTTGTGATATTTTGAATGCAGTGCTTCATTTTGAAAGTGATGTGAGGTGTTTTGCATTTCGTGTGTGCAATTCTTGGATTTGTGTGTAAAGTATTGAAATAAAGAGGCAAAGTTTTGAAAATGTGTGTAAGCAGTAGAAAAAAAAACGAATAAATATTTTATTGCTGGTTTGTTTTTTTTTTACAAACTAAAATGCGCACCCCCCGTTTACAAGCTATTTAAAAGTGAAGGTAAGTGAGAAAAAGAGGGAACCCCCCCCCCCACGGTGATACCGGAATTATCGTTGGTGTTACACGTCGTTTCCTCACCGTCACAGCCTTAGCCAATTAAATACAGAGTTCTGGCATGAAACTAGATGGCGCGTATCAGTAATAGTTTGAGAAGTGTTTAGTATTGTGGTGAACACTCACTGCAGCGCTTGCGTTGTATCTCGTGTCAGGTGCGGATCAGAGAGGCCTCTGGTCTTCCTCTCAACCTCTCCAACTTCGTCTTCTGTCAGTACACCTTCTGGGAACAATCAGAGCCCGCTGTGGCTCCGCCCATCGTCAGCCCGGACACGCCCCCCTCACAGACGGCCGACGCCCACTTCACTGTGCGCTTTGATCACTGCAGGGTAAAAACATTCTCTAGAGTACCTGTGTTGTCTTAGTGTAATTGAGATACTATTTGCTTTTTATAGTTTGGATTTTATATTTTCTGTTTTATGTCAGTCACTGTATTTTTTATGTTTTTAGTTTTAGTTAATGACAATAATCCTAGGGGAACATAAGCAGTTTGCCACACTGCTTACAATACTCATAGTGTACAATGCCAGAAAGCTAAGAAACAAGATATGCAATAAAGATGGAGAATTTTTGTTGTTGATTTTTTTTTAATTCTTATTTTTAAATATTTTTAATTATATTTATTTTTATTTTATTGTTATTATTACTAGTGCTTATTTTTTATTTCCTATTATATTTCCTATTTATTTTTATTGTATTTATTTTTTATTCATTAATTTTTTTTTAAATTAATTAAATAATTTATCTATGTACTTGCTTACTATTTATCTATCTGTTTACTAGTGCTCCTAGAGATGGCATAAGAACTGAAATTTATTTGTTATTTCTTATTTGCTATTATTAATTATTATTCTTTTTTGTTTATGTTTATTATTATTATTATTATTATTAATAAATAATAAATTAGTTATAAATAATAATGTTTTTATCAAATATCATAATGGAAGATTTAATATAACAGCTATTGTTATTACTGTTGTTATTTTATGTTTATTTACTTTTGATAATATTGTATACAACTCATTGAAATATTATTGTTACTATGATTATTTTAAATGTTGTTACTCGTGAGTTTGCCGTGAGTGTGCTGATATGATATTAAATGATAAATAAATAAATCTGCTTTCGTTGCGTTTCTGTGGGCAGGATTTCCTGGTGCATGTGACGGAGGAGTTTCTGGAGTTCATCTCAGACGGCGCTCTGGCCATCGAGGTCTGGGGTCACCGGTACGCTGGGAACGGCCGGTCTGTGCGGGAGCTGGATGCACTGCAGGCCAAGAGACGCACGCTCAGAGACAGGTGCGTTTCCTCACACTAGGGCTGGGCGATTTGGCAAAAAATTAAAATCTCGATTTTTCCAGAACGTTTGACCGATTCTAGATTTTTTACGATTTTTAACTTATCAACTTGAAAATGTAACTACAACATGATTCAAGTAGCTTTTTCTGTATTAACCCTCTATTTAAAGATAATTCTATTCCAAGTGCACCACACATGAAGTTGTCAACATGATGTAAATGTTAAACAAATCTCTTGTTAAATATCTTTGCAGAAAAGATGCATGAACTACAACTACATTTTGTACAAACTTGTCTTATACATAAAATGTGTTCAGAAATAATACGAGGAAAATGCTTTTAAAAAATCTCAAAAGTCAAGGTAATTTTAATTCTAAGTGATTGAAGGTATAACTCCAGTAGACTAACTATAAATGTTCTGTAAAAGCAACAGCAGCTTTCAGCCTGTCACCATGATGCAAACATGAAATATCAGACATACAGTAGTAGTTATTTACAGGTTTTTTATTCGATTGCGCTGATTTTCCACTGTTTTTTCTGTGTAAACATGGATGTGTTTGGCTGTTGCGCTCGCGTCTCTTGCAGCGTCTCATGCATGAAACACCATTCTAAAAACACTGCGCTCAAGTTAAAAGAAGTTCACTCCCATCTTCTTGCATGTTTTTCCTATTCCACTGCCCGCGTCGCATCTTTGTCAACACAAAAGCGCATTCTGTGTGAATGGCCTCTAGCGATATGAGCGGTTAATCACGTGCGCCGACATGCGGTTGGGTTGTTCTTTTCTCTTTACTGTTATCACTGGCATATTGCCAAAGTGTCTAATTCTAACATTTGGTAATATTTCTATTCAAAATTGCGATTCCTCGATTTCTAAAAAATAAAATCATGGCAAAACATTAAATTCGAATTCATCGATAAAATCGGGGAAATCGCCCAGCCCCACCTCGCAAACGTTGATTCTGAAAACAAAATATTATACAACCAAACAAAATAATATGTAGGCTAATTTACTTGAGTTTCTGACAAAATTTTTTATTTAATGTTATAAATGAGTCTATTTAAAAATATTAACTTAAATGAAATGAAATTTATTTGAAATAAACGAATGAAGACTTTTTGAACAAACCTCTTGAATGAATGATTCAGACATCAGATACATTTTAACATTCACTGGTCGCCACCTAATGTCATAGTGTAACATAATATTTGAAACGTAACATTAGTTCGAAAGGTCATTCAGTGCGTTTACATAAACCTTCTTAATGCGATTATATTGAGATTTTGACAATATTGCGATTAAACTTTATCTCATGTAAACGCAATACTTCGATCTAAATAATGCGATTAAGCTCATAATTGCAGCAAACTTTGGCGCAAGTGCGCATGTGCTCGTGACGTACATGAATAACGTGACATATTGCACCTGCAAAAATACGCAGATTAGAAACGATGGTGGAGAAGAAAGCATCGCATTTCTGGGGAAAACACAACTCGCTGCCACCAATACCTGTTCCTTACCCTCATCCAGAAATGGCGAGTATAACGTCAAGGCAGTGTAGGCAAACGAATCGCCATCACATTTCTATGGCGCCCGAAAAAGCATGGAATTTTTGCATTAGACGTAAATAAATTAAAACAGCAGCCAGTAACTCACCTACTCTTTCTGAGTCCAATTTTGTGCTGTGCAGTGGAGTATGTGAATAATGGCAGTAAAAAAATAACCACAATTCTTAGCGAATAATAAGAATAATTGCATGAAAACGGGAGTGAAGAGCTTTGCCCTTGACATGTAAACATCATAATGCGATTAAGTCCATACTCTGTTTATTGGAAATAATCGCATTATTTGTGCGCATGTAAACGTAGTCATTTACTCATTTTGATCGCGGCTGCCACAACATCAGAGTCTATATCCGGACTATAAAATGTTATCCCAATACAAATAAGATAAGTAAGATTGCGTATGTTTGAATCGAGATTGTGATTTTTTAATGATTTCTCGTGCATACATATGAGCCTACAGTGTTTCCCCTAGGTTTATAGGGGAAACACTCCGTCTCTGCAAGCGCTGTGAGTTTGTGTCATTCATAACATGCATTTGACAATGCAACATGCATCAAACATCTTTCCATGTTTATAATGACAAGCATTTATACTAGTGCTGTCAATCAAAACTGATCACGACATTGCATGCACGTAGTTTATTTCGCGCTTTTATATGAAAGGATACAGGCTACAGCGCGCGCCGGTGCCTTTGTGCATGCAATTGAAGAGCACGTGCTGCTTGACTCGCGCCTGGCACTGAAGTGAAGAGGACCCTTTGCGGTCGTTATGCGCCCTCGATCCGCACTTCTGCCGAGCCCGCACTGGGGCGAGCTCCGCAACAGACTTCTACCCAATAGTCAAAGCGGCATTACGTCATGAAAGTGCAGACTCAGAGGAAGACCGCGAGGGTTTAGGGTGCCATTTGGGACAGGGCCACAGAAGCAGCAGCTGTGAGTGGGGTGGCCAACCCTAGCCCCGCCCCTGCGTAAATTGCGTAAAATATTTTTTACGCGTTAAACTGAAAAAATGAATCGCCTGCGTTAACGCGTTAATTTTGACACCACTAATTTATATATATATATATATTAGGGCTGGTAAGCGA